AGGATGTTGCAAAGCACAGCCTTAAGAAAATGATCCCAGGTAGGAAAGCATCTTAAAGCTGCTGTGCTGCCTGAAGGACGTCCTTACTTGACGCACAAGCACATGAATTGTCTAAATAGAATTACAGCCCTCCGGAAAAGAATTACAATATACCAAAGTTACTTAAATGTAGTAAATGGGTTAAGCTCTTCATTTTAAAACCCAAAACATATGTAGGTGTGTAAATTAGCACCTGCCATTTAACCTAAAACCATGGAAGAGGATTAGGGACATTTTTTTAACTTTATCTCAGTTTAATATAGGAAAAAAGTAAGAATTCTGACCTTTTTCTCAGAATTCCGACTTTAATCTGATTCTGACTAATCTCAGAATTCTGACTTTGGATTTATAGTTATATATATATATATATATATGCGTAAAATGTATTCTTTAAACATTATGTGTGCAAAACATTTGAGACTTATGTTTATATAAGAGAGCTGATCAAGTACAGCACTGATACACTTTGTGAGACAAACAACACACTGACACTGGGCCATACACTAAAAATTTATTTTTCATTTGAGATATTCATAACTTATAATGCACTATCTTTCATATTTTGTTAAATGTGTCCAATTTGATATAGATTCAGTAGTGGAAAGATTGTCATACTATAGGTGGAAGCAGAACGGATGTCTGGAAGAAAACCAAAGGAGGATGAAATTAAAGAAGACATGCAATTTGATAAAAGGATACAGGATTAAGAATGTGGATAGCTTTGATGCAGATGTTGTATGTAAAATTTTATCAAATTATCTACTTTGTTAATGTCTACACTGATTTAATTTTTATTTTATTAAAGAGGAAAATACATTATAACATTAACAATTTATGTTTTTCCATTTTCAGTCATATTTTCAGAAATGGATTTAAAACTTGAAAGTTACAATTATATGTATCCTATAAAATGTATATTAGCAGAAAATGCAAATAAGACCAAAATATAATAATAAAGCTTTCTGCCTTACAGAAATATTTCAGGAAATGTTATTGTAAACTGTAACAATGTATAGCACTTTAAAATTAAGTGTGTTTTTGTCTGGATGGTTGCGGAACAATAACTTATCAAAACATCTTAAGTAAAAAGCTGCAAGAAAAAGCCAATTCTGAATCCACATACTTTCCTTTGCGTGAGTAAAAAAAAAAAAACATACTTCTGCATGTTTTAACTCTGTACATTCTATAAAAAGACTAGACCAGTATCTTCATTTTTTTGTTGTTGTGAACCTAAACTTAACATTGTGATTAACTTAGGTTGAGGTATATCAACAGCTTACATCCAGCTTGTACATATGTAGCCATAGACTTGAAGCCATGAAGGCATAAAACATAAGCTATATGAACTAGAGGTGTCCCGATGCAACTTTTTAATTTCCAATACGATACTGATATTGCATCTTTTAGAATTGACTTATGCCAATATTGACCCAATATGATATTATCAAAATTATTTAAATTACTTATTTTTGTACTGTAGAATGATAGAAAAGGGAACAAAGGTCAGCAACAAAAGGTATGAAAAAAACTGTAAAATTAGCTAATGGCTCACTAAAACTTTTAAAAGAAGTCTTTCTATTACAATAAAGATATTTGACATTTTAGTTGTGGCTGATTAGTTTAGTTTTAGTTTAGTTTTTTGGCTAATATTAGACTGATATCCGATAATAATAACGGATTGGGACATCCCTATGACGTTCTTTAAAGTATTTCTTTTTTTTTAAATATTCATTTTATACATTAGTGCTGAAATCTGTGCTAACAGAATTATATTTATTTTGGATTTTAAAAAATCAATATCCATAACCTATAGGTTACTCTCAAGAAAATAGTTCATTTCATTTTGGAAATCATGGTAGCTTTCATAAGGAACTGATAACTCTCTATATGGCTATGTATGGCTGTGTATGTGGACAAAAACTGAAATACACTGCCTGGCCAAAAAAAAAAACTTCTGTTCAATATATAAGAGTTTATTAACAAAAATCATTCAGCCCCAAGTCAAACATATTTCAGTTTAACACTCTCAACTAAGACTAGTAAAACTCAACTAAACTAAA